ATTTATTTTTGGAGCTACTGCATTTAAATTGCTTTCTTTAATGCTTTTTTTAATGAACAATGCTTGTGTTTTGTTATTTTACAGAAGCCCGGAGTGAGATCAGACTGGATCAGTCTTTATCTGAAGTAAAACGACCAGGAGAGACAGTGAAGATGTCGTGTGTCTCATCTGGTTTTACAATGTCATCGTTTTTCATTCACTGGATCCGTCAGAGACCAGGCAGAGCTCTGGAGTGGATCGGGAGAATGAATGCTGGTCAAAACTCTGCTGTCTATGGAAGCTCCTTTCAGGTCCGTTTCTTGATGACAGAGGATGTTCCCAGCAGCACTCAGTACCTCCAGATCAGCAGCCTGACAGCTGAAGATTCTGCTGTTTACTTCTGCGCTCGTGAAAACACAGTGACTGAGGAGAGCAGAGGAGCTGAACAAAAACCTCCACAGACAACAAATATCTGTGTGCACTCAGAGCCTGTCAGGAAATATTCTCACTATGTTGAGTTTTCTACTTTTTATGAAATAATAATAAACTTATTTTCTTTACAATCATTAAAGTTCAAAGTACTTTGGTTTCAGACTGAATACTTTGTATTAGATTATTATGAAGTCATTAACAAAAATAACAAAGGTGAAGTATTCTGAAACTAAGGTGTTGAGTCACCAATGTGGTGTGAATGATGTTCAAAATGTTCAAATAAATTCAAAACAGTTTTGACTGAATAAAGTTATAAATTTTTAAAAAAAGAAATAAAAATATTTTTTAACTTTTAAAACTGTTCACAGCAACACAACCATGTATTTCCACATTCACAGGGGACTTTCAGTTGACATCCTAATTCAAAATCTGATCATTTTAATGCTGCGAAAACAAGCCCTAAATTTCATATGCAGTTTAACTCTGAGAGAAAACTTTTCATATCAAATCAATTTAAACAAAACGTATGTAAAAATATGCAAATGAAGGCTGATTAAAAGGAAGTGAAGTGTGTGTCTGAGTGTCAGAGAGAGGAACAAAGAGCTTCCATCAGTTCAGCTTCAACATCAACATGTTCTCTGTAGCTCTGATGCTGCTGCTCACAGCTGGATCCTGTGAGGAGATTTCTGTCAATTTAACTAAAGATGATATTAAAACACTGAATAACCAGATGAATGATGCTGATTTGTGTTTCCACAGGTGTGCTCTGTATTGATCTGATGCAGCCAGACTCTAAAGTTGTGCAGCCTGGACAGACTTTGTCCATC